GAATTCTGGGAGTTGAAGTCCACTCCTCTTAAAGTGGCCAAGTTTGGACAACACTGCAGTAGAGGCATATGCTAGATGATTTTTTATATAGACACCTTCTTGAAGAACAGATTCATCGACATGTACCAGCTCTGATTCTTGAAATAACTTATTGCAAAATATGAAGACAGAGAACTCAAAGGTATGACCCTGGTCTAACTGTTTCATCTTTGGGAAACCTAGATAACCAGTATTGGAAGAGAACTGTAAACGAAGAGTCTGCGTTTTCCAACTGCGAGGCAATGCAGAATGCAGGCAACTCCTGTAGGGTTCACCAGGTTCCCTGCCCCGTCTGGCTTAGTTTAAACAATTCTTTTGATAAAGCAATATGAAATGGGAAGTTCGTGTATTGCAAGATGAATGCCAATTTCCAGCATTCCCCACTGTTTCCAAGAGACCACTTACGTATTTCTAGAAATTGAACCTGATGGATAGCTACAGGCCAGTGGTTTTTTGTTGATGTCAATAGGACCCACTCAAGAGGGACTTTCTCCTGAATCTCAAACTAGCTGTTAGGACAAAGTTCATTATCCAACACTGCTAGCCTGTAGGGACAACAGAACTGGTGTCCCCAGACCCAGCCAACCATTAAATCTGATGGCTGCACCAGGATCAAACTCCAATAGCTATCTATACTGACAATATCTGTTTTACTACAGAAGGCTGTGCTCAGGTCACCTTAATGAATTAATTCCAAGAAGTATTTTTGATGAAGCCTTAGATGAGCTGCCCCAAGTGGAACAGCCTGACCCAGTACAGATATTAATTTAAATCTAAGAATTAAATCTAAGAATTTACTGGCAACTGGAAGCTAGAGTGACCCAGAGACAATGCAATTATTCTCAGTTTTCCAGAATAGGGAGCCAGCTGCAATTTGAGTCCAGGCAAGCTCTCCTCCGGATGCAGTAGCTAAGGAACCAATACTGTAGAGAGGCAAACCACGTTTTGTGGAAGAAGAGAAGACCTGGCAGTGAAAACAGGGCCTCTTTTTGTATTGTGAGTAGGCGTGGCATGTAGATTGGGGAAAATTGTCCAAGAAAGATCTTCATCAATGTAATACTTTCTTTCCAACCAAATGCTGTTCTTTTCTATATTTTCTCCTCCACCCATGAATGTTCTGAAGATTCTAGAGATTTCCCAAACAGATTACCCTGGTACCACTTCTCACTTCTAGCCCAGTGTAACTTCCTGTTATTTTCCCATCTCCTTTAGCAGCCTGGGGGATTATGGTGAGTGCACGTCCCAATGTCAGAAATCTCACCAGGGTGGTCCTCTTCACAGCCTCATCTGGGGCTGTGGTTCACATGTGATGCCTCAGAGTAGGATCTTCTGAGTGGTGAGACCCAGTTATGGAATTTTCTCCCTGGAGAAGTCCAACACATCCCCCATTCGGTGCAGTTTTAGAAGACAGATATCTACTCGGGAGGTAGATATTTCTTCAGGTCTAGAATGCTATCAAGAGATGTATATTCTGTTGGTCAAGAACTGATGGGAGGTTCTCAGTTGTTTTTATTGTCATAATAATACTAATAATTTATTAAATTTATATGCCCAGTGGTATATTTTACTGGTTGTCTTGTTTGCAGTATTACCTTGCTGTCTTCCAATGATGTACCAAGGCTAGGTGGACTTGCAAGTAAAACAAGAGTGCCAATACCAAGTGGTTTTATATTTCTAAATCTCTCATTTTTCTCTTGCAATTATTGGCAATTCTGGTTTTCGACTAGAATGTCCTTGTCTTGATTTCCAGAAACGTTGGCTTCCTGTGCCTCTACTTCACGAATGGGTACTACATGGCCCATGGGACATATCCTCAGTCCCAGCCTCTTATTTGTAAATACCTTCTGGAGCCCCACCAAATCTGATGGCAAACCAAGAGAATGTGTGTGTGGTTTTCCATTTTAAAAAAAGGAGAAGGCAACGGGAAGCAAAATAGATGTGGAAAGCCTCCACTAGCTTATAACATTTATTTTGCTTTTTTTTATAACCAACCCCACAAAAACCAAAACCTTGCCCTTGTCCACTCTGGAGATGTCATTATGTCATTACTCTGCCTTCCTGTGGCCAGGAGAGCCTGGGAAAAGGCAATGGGTTTTGATTTTCTGCATTTCTGGGCCTCCTTGTGCCTCATTTTGTACCACCACCCTCTTGCAGAGGATCAGTCCCTAACGTGGGAGGGCGACTTTGGACCACGTACACTTTCTTGCAATGAATGAGCCGTTCCCCACCAAGGCATGTTTACACCACCCCTAATTTAGGCCCTGCTTTCGCTGCAGATGATCCGAGCTTCTGTTTGCTTTCATCTTTGTCTGATTTATTACGGACCATCGTTGCAGATCTGGCACAGACCTTGAACCCACCCAGCAATGATACTTTTAAAAACCTGAATGAATTTGTAAGCTAGCCTGTCTTGAGTTATGGCGTGTTCATTCAACGTTTAAACCAAGCAAGGAAAGGAACGTCACAAGGGCAGGTTTATCCGCAAAGAAATAGGCTCAGAATCTGTCAATGATGAAGTCGCTTTATATGGCTGAATGGACAATTCCACTGGTATGACTAGTAAGGGGGTTTGTGAAGCTGGTTAGGTAAGGCAAAGACCAGTTTAAACCTTCTTGTGTAACTGTTTTTCCGATATCATGTCATATATCCTGACGGGAAGGAAGGCAGATGCTTGTTAACTCTTCATGCAAATATCTCTTGGAAATCTCGCCCTCGCTGAGCAGGCTTAATTGACCCTACCCACAAAAGGAAATATCCAAGTTCTTCCCCTTGGGCTCCAGCTTTGTCCCGCTTTTGATGTACAGAGCCCTTTTAATTATGAATTTTACAACACTAGACAATAATAAAGATCAAACAGTGCATTGTGAGTTAACACAGTTCCCGAACAATAAGAAACAAGGTGATGGCAACTGTCAATGCCATTTCGCTGTATAAAATGTATAAATAAATAGTTGACTTGCAATAAGAAAGGATGTTGTACAATACAATTTGCTTGGTCTTCCTCTTGAATCACGTTAACCCTTTGTAACCAGGACTACAAACTCTGGAAAAGAAAAGAAATGTTTATATTAGTTTGAACCTTGTCTCTTCAACCCAATAGGGGCTTCTAGATAATCTTGGATAGCAGATGCTAAAAAAAATAGAGCTTCCATTCCATTTGTCATTAGTTTGTTCTGTTTACTAATATATATCAATTTATTACATAGCCTTAGGAATTTGTTTCATTGGTTGATTGTGCCCATATCAAGATGGCAGGCATAATTCTTATCCTAGTATATCCTCATAACAACAACCTTTGATGGAGGTTGGGTTGAGGGACTTTGCGCTCCCTCTGGATGATTGATGGATGGATGAATTGGTTTCATATGCCACTGTAGTCACTCAGACTCTCAGCAATTAGCCAAAGAATTGAATCAACTCTGCTAAATCATTCTAACCCTGCTGATGCTCCCCCTTGAGTGTTTGAGTGACGATATTGCCCATCATGCTGGATATCAAAGAGGGGACTCTTTAATGCTTCCTTACCGTCCACACCAATTTTACCATCTCCATCGGTGTCACCTGCTTTCAGAAACTCTGAAGTCTCCTTGTCAGTCAACTCTCGGGCTTTGTCATCAAAATTCTGCAGGAACTTCCTAGTGGGGAGAGAAGGTTACATGAGGGCCAGGATGACAAGCTAGAGGCAGGGTTCCTCAACCTTGGCAACTTTAAGACTTCAACTCCCAGAATTCCCCAGCCAGCCAGCCTTCTGGGAGTTGAAGTCCACCCATCTTAAAGTTGCCAAGGTTGAGGAACCCTGGCTAGAGGGAAACATTTGATCAACTTAAGCTGTGCTCCTCTTCTTTTTGGTAAGTTAACAAACCAAACCAAACCTGAGACATGAAGTCTCAATTAAGAAAATGCAATGTTCTATGGGGCAGAAAATAAGTCATTTTGAAGAAGTTTGCTCTATTCCACAGGATGAGGGTGGAGACCAAAACTAATCTAAATCACAACCGATCTAGCCACCGTTGAACAGTGTGCCAAGCTTCCCTGAAAGATCTGATTGACCACAAGCAGGCAACCTCAGCTTATTTTCAGCAGCAGCTTGTGAAGAGCACTTGAGATGCAAAAAAGGGCCAAGTTTTTTGAGACCCCCGGAACCATCTCTAGGCATAATCACCTAAAAATTCTTGCTTGGGGATGGGACACAAAAAGTGTGAAGCCTTCCTACTGGGTTAACAACTAGAACATTACAGCGTTGCCCACTCCTGCTTGAATAAGCATTTGGACCGTTCCAATCCTTGGTGGTTGATGGGACATAGCTTTGATGAAAAAAATGACTATTATATCAGAGCTCAAATTAAGAACAATTGTGATACAGAAAGGATAACTGGATATTTGAACGAGAGGGCACGTTAAAATTGTGGTGTCCTTGCATGTTGGGAGGTGACAAAGTAGAGAGGCAGACAAAATTCTTCTCAAGATCTTTTTCTGCATTGCAGGAATTATTTTCATCTACTATTGCATTCCCAGCATAGATGGTTCATGGATTGGATTCAAAAACCCACAAGTGGAAAGATGATACTAATTAGAACTGTTATGTATATGCTTAAGAATTCACACCATAGCATATCAGGTAAGTCCTACAACAGTTCTGTAATAATAATAATTCATAATAATTAATTAAATTTATATGTCGCCTGACTCCCAGCGACTCCGGGTCTGCTAATGCTAACGGAAGCAAATGCAGAATCTTTGGGTGTCGTTTTGCAGAAGCATGAACTTATGCATCATCTTCCACCAGCAGGAGCTAGAGAACATCTCTCTAGGGCAGAACATTAAGGACTCCTTCCAAGGATCGGCGATGCCTTTTGCATTTGGAAACGCCATCTTAGAATCCCACCCATTAGCAAGCGATATTTCTTAAATTTTACTCACTGCAGTTCCTCGTGCTCAATGTATCCACTCTTGTCCCGATCGATGACTCCAAACACTTTTGTTAGCTGATCCTTGGATTTGCAGTGCAGACCTGATTTGGCAAAGAACGTCTTGCAGCTAAAGGAATCAGCAGCTTAAGAAAAGAAAAGAAAAAAAGAGAGAGACAGAAGACAAAATATAAGGAGATGAAGAGAGGTGAAGCGATTATAACTGCGCTGTTCTAGCTCCCTTTGCCTAGTCAATCAAGCATCACTTTTTGCTGTCCCAACTATGTCAGTTGGGGTGAAACAGACATTTGAGGCATTGACCTTAACTGACTTGATCCTTGGACACCAAGAAAGTTTAGGGACAGATTAAATATCAGCTACCCAAAAAAAGCACAGTAAAAAGGAGCTGACTTGAAAGCTAGATGTGCACTGATCCACTTGGACATTGGTTGCATGACCAGTTCTGACTCATATTCTCTCCAGCTATGTTCTGGCATCAATTCTGGCGATGCAGGTGAGTTTCAAGCAGTTGGGATTTCCTGTTTCAGATCAAAGATTCCTCATTTTTCAAAACTGAGATGGACAGGTTTAATAAATTACATTAGGTGCCCGATATTTCCTGCAGCTTCCTGCAGGAATTTGGAATTTCTCTGTGTTTGCTCTGTCTTTTTCTAATGGAAGCTGGGACATAAACCTGTTCCATCACACTCCCAAACAGGGGCGGTATTTCCTTCCCTTCCCTTCCCTTCCCTTCCCTTCCCTTCCCTTCCCTTCCCT